ACACACACACACACACACACACACACACACACACACACACGAGTAGCGAGGCATCGCTTATTCTCTTTCAAAGTAACACAGTTCAAAACTTTGGAATGCATAAACACATGTAAGTTGAGTGATTACGACTCAAATGCCTCTAACTACAAGATTAAAAAAAAAGAGACAAATTATTATATAACAGATAAAATGTGCACACTCTAAAATTATATATCAAAGATCTGCAGTTTCTACAGTTAAATGCATAAGACATGAATACAATTTTAAACATGAATTTATCTTTTTCCTCCTTCTTTTAAAACGTACTTTTACTTCTCCGGTATAAACAAAATGTACATTTTGGAGAGAGCGCAGGGATTATCCAAACTCTCAAATTCACAGTTAGCAACTTGATGTCAGCATTGCTGGTACAGTTTGAATTGCACGTACAAGGAGAGGGATGGAGAATACAAATGAATCACACAAAGAGAACTCCAGGGGGTGCTATAGTCTAAGAAAAAAAAAGGACATTGCACATGATTCCAGTGTTGGAGGCCTCCCTCCTTCTTGGCTGTCTGTAAAATCCCAGCAGGTGCTTTAAAGATGGAGCTCCTGGCTCAGAACTAATCAACCCTCCATCCTCGCACAGGATTTGTCCAAAAAGAACCAGGTGCTCATAATGATATAGAAAGGAGCAAAAAACATGTCCACTGAGCCAAGTCCAATGGTATTACTGATGGACCAAAAATAATAATAATAAATTTAAAAAAAAACGATGCGCCACGAGTCTCAATCAGAACTCTTCCACTGTCCGGTCTCTACAGAACTGACCACCAGCCAGTCAGCAGAGAGGTTTAAGAGACAGCCGAGTGAATTCATTACAGGGGCGACGGAAATTAACTAGAGTCGTTTTGTGCTACTACAGGGGACTGCATTGTGTGTAGTACTGACTCAGATGTGTAAGTCCTGAAAAGGCATTTCAGAAGCCATGGCCTTTTTTAAAAATTTTTTGTAGAGACGGGCACCATTTTACAGTCCAGCACTTAAGGTTCTCAGCGGACCAGACGGCTTGGGTCCGGAGACAGTTGTGGTCTACTATGGTCTGTGAAACCTAAAGTTAGGATGAAAATAAAAAATAAAAAAAGTGAAACACTGCACAAAAACCTACTACATTTGAATAGCAATGGAAGCATTTAATCATGCATGGTCACATCCAAATGAAATCTTCTACTCATTACCTGGTTAAATGACGACTTGACTCGTGCACTTCCATTTCATTGCTCTTGAAATCGTTGAGTTCTTTCCTGATGGCTGCCTGCAGAGGAAAAAGAAAATAGATTGAAACACTCAAAACTGCAGTCCTGACTTTACCTTTTTTTTTTCCTTTGCATTAATTACGCTCATCTCAAGGYCGTGTATGATTTTGCCGAGTTCCCTTCTGACTTGAAGAATCTAAAATTTCCCCTCAAAGCAACTAAGAGCCTTAATACGGTAAACAGTTCTCTGTTGGTCTAATTATGTAGAAAGTTTGTGCTTTTCCTATCATTAAGTCACAAAGATCTAAACAGATTCTTCATGGAGAAAACAGTCCTTTATGAGTCATTAGTCCTGTCTGCAAACCCATGTGTCTACAAAATGAATTGTTCCTGTAAAACCTCTTCATTAGATGGACAACATTTTGCATAATCGTTAGACCTAATCGCTTTTGGATTTGACACGTGCACATGTGAGCCCATCACAGGCAGCCTTGCTGATGTAAGAAGCTTAGTTTCCATAACTACGTATAGTTAGAAATGGGAAGGATGGTTCTTTGCGGGAATCCAGATCTTGATGAGATTCATTGAGCTGTTCAGTACAGCCAATTGATTTTGGACGAGTTATGTCATCACGGAGCTAGATGTGTCATCATGTATGGCAAAAGAGATGACATCATCATGTCACGTGGGCGGATTCAAGTGTTTTATCAAGCGCAACCCCTTACCCCTTTACCCCTGAGCTGAACTCCACCCATCTGCTTGTGAAACAGCAAAGGAAGAGCGAGGCGAAATAAATATATTACAAGGAGTACAACTGTAAAACTATGAAGGGCTCTTTACTGTTCGCAGCTAGGTTCCTATTGTTAGCTGTAGAGCCATTCTAAAGATTTGGATCGTTCGCAAATGTCACATCTCTAGTTGGTCCAGTTCATGTCTAAAAAACCAGAATCCTTTGGCCACAGAAAACTATCTTGTCTATACACTGACAAAGGACTTGATGGTCCAAAGTGGTGCCAGAATTTGGGTCCATCTTGTAAATCTAGAGCAGAAGTCTTCAAACAGGTACTGCAGGGGTCATGAAATCCATTCTTCATTTGCAAAAAATAAAATAAAATTCAACACTTGTTTTTCGGTGTTTTGTCTTTAAACATTATGAGTCCAACATGTGGCGAACTGAAAATGAAGGCATTAGATAATGTACTGTGTTTTGGATAATAATGTATTTGCAGCTGTAATAGCTGTAATTTCCCTCGGGGATCAATAAAATATTCTGATTATGCTTTCAGTTAGAAATTCTTCTGACTGAATTCTTCTGAATCTGCACCAGCTGAATCCTGCTTCACTCGTAGCCTCCGTGCATTTTGCACTCAGAGAGATGGACCCGCCCCCTTATCCATTCTGGGCTCTGGTGCGTTCACTCTGCCAGGTTCACAGACTGAAAAACGCTGAAGGTCTAGAGGTATGCTTTTAATGCATTGCAATAAATTTAAGATTATATTAAGTAGGTGTTTTTTTGGTCAGGAGAGTTTCACATGAACAGCTCTGTAATGTCACAAATCACAAACGTTTATGACATTTTAAATTCCCACTTTAGCCATCATTTATTCTGTAATATTTGTCAAAGTATTGCTTTTAATGTGACTCACACAGATGTTTTTAGTGTTAATGCTGGAATTTATGATAATAACGTTAAAGGCACAGTGTGTAGGATTTGTTGTTTTCAGCGACATCTAGTGGTTGAGTGGTTGAATCATCCTCCCCAGTCCTCCCCCCACCCCCACCCCCGCTTCCAAACACAAAGGAGTTTCTACGGTGTCTCTCAGGTGTCAAAAACCTTTGATAATTCCAACCGCGATGTCTACCAGCAGCTTCAGGGCTAGTGATGTTTCAAGTGGTAAGATTATGAGCTTTAATAAGTAAAATTATCCCAGCTACAATGACAGACAACAAATATTACATTTGTAGTATTACAACTAAAACCGCTTTTGACGCCGCCACCGCAGTTTGTCCTTCATGAGCCTTCGTGGACAAGATGGCGGTGCAAGATGGGGGCTGCCTGTAGTGGCGACCCGCGACCATGGAGATATAAACAGCTTTTTATAAGGTAAAAATAATAAAACAAGGTCTTTGTCTGCAATGATTAGACATGTTTTTTATTATTGTCATTAGTGATTATCTCAATTTCGGCTAAAAGACTTGACAAAATCCTACACACTGTGCCTTTAAAGCCATTGATTCCATTATGACCGGCTGTTGTCCTGTCAGTATTTAGTGATTATGTGCAGACTGTATTTAGAAGAAAAGTGACATGTAGCCTCGACTGGTGACTAGAAGCACACGTGGAGATGAATTTTAAAGCCAGACCCTTCCTGGTAATTGCTGACCAAATCCCTTAAAATACATGTTACTGCCAAATCCAAACAGGAGTGATCAGACAAGTTAGTACTTATACTGTAGTGCTCTATTTATTTCAGTAGAAACAATTCAAGCATGTTTTTCATGAATGGAATGGCTGCATACGATTACATTTTTGGGACAAAGCCCCGTGAATAATTGCCTCTCAGTGGTCGGTTCTGGACTCGTGGAAGGCTTCAGGACATGCGTTCCAAGGGACTTTACATCCCATCTTAAAATATTATGCATGACAGCAACCCAGCAAGGTGATGCTACTGCTTTCGCAATTTACTAAAACTCAAGGGGACATCTCCAGCCTCGAGCAGGAAGTACTGATGGCAGCAAAACGAACCAAGTTTTGTGCCGGATGGCAAAAACGTCAGCAGAGCCCAGCTGGGGGAGGTCCTGAGGCGCGGCTTGTCCAATTATTCCCTTATGCAAGAAAGTTTGTTGAGCAAATTTTAACGCCGAGTCCTTGYGATTTTCAGCAGGGCTCCTCAGGTGTGACCTGGAGAGCTCCGAGTCGTGAGTCGTTCCAGGCTGAGAAGGGCAGAAGATCTGCTCCGTCAGAGGCATACAGATCACTGCTCTGGGGTTATTACTCACAAACAGAGACAAAACAGCTGGGGTGGACCCAGACCCCAAAAGACTCGAAGAGCATCGTCTCTTGCTGAATCACTGCTCTTTTGCGTTCTCAGTTGCGTCATAGAAAAGTAAAAAGAATCTAATGGTGTTTAAAGACATTTTGAAAAAATGAACTCAGTTTAATTTAATTTGTCAAAAATAATACTGGCCTTATCAGCAGCTGTGAGCCGAGTCCAGGGCTTATCAGCTCGCCTGTCATAGTCCTGAGCGTCTGACACCTCYACGTAGTCGCAGAATCTGATGAGAATTTTGGCCTGTCTCAGCTCTTCAACAGTCGGCCTTTGGCTCAGCTGGAACAGGAAGACAAATACGACACTGTTAAATTGATAGAAACACAGAAAAGCACGCAGTTCTTGAGATTTTCTTTTATATAATCAAGAAAGTGCAAAAGAAGGTTGTGGGGTACCAATTCATTTTTACCAAGAAAGCACCAAGAAAACAGCGTCACGTCTCTGTTTTTGTACAACTTCTTCAAGCGTATTAGACATTTACAAATGAGCACACATAGATCTCTGAGGCCAATTTTTTTTCCACAGCTGATTATAAAATGTCACAATTTGCAGCTAGAGGCACTGATTACAGATCTGAACATCACTTATGATCCTAATGAGACAACATGTCTTGTTTTATCATCAATAAACAACGCTCTCGGATGTAAACAAAATGAACTTAATTGTCGGCGAAGCTTCATCAAAAAAATCGGCGTAGCACAGTGATTACGATTTTCTAATAACATTGTGCTTTAACGTGGCAAATAATAGCTATGACAGGAAGAAATGATTTATTGTCTAAATAGCTGCAAAAATGCAATAATTCAGGAGGGTRGGCAATGTGTTTCTTTGTAAAATATTTGTATAATATGTCATCTGCAAATGGTAGCAATCCAGTGACTATGATTTTTCTTTCTTCCCATGTCTGCAGGTGAACAAAAAAAGTGTTGTTCTTTAAACGACAGTGACAGAAACATTATCCACACCTCCCCATGGGGTGGGGAAGGATCTGGCAACCGACGTGCTAAAGGTAACAAGGACAACAAGGACATCAGTATCACC